AAAAAATCCGTGCGGCCGTGTCACTTGGCACCAGTTCGTGATATGAAAATCAATTAATTAAATTTGTGTGGCCTTATTATCTATTATTCGCATAACAAAAAATTCTGTATCTATTTTACCTTCTTTTTTTAATTAAATGATTTCTTATCTGTTAGTTATTGAAAAAAGATATAAAAGATGCCTATTTTTTAGTGTCAATTAATACTGAAAGAATCAAAAAAAAAAAAAGAATAATTGACAAATAATAATAATAATAATAATAATAATAAAACCATGACGTCTATTTTTTGCGCTATATCTTATGTTAAAAACATTTCAGGTTCAAATAAGATCTGTAGCTGAAATGCTGTATACAGGACTGGATCGAATGATTTCGTCAAATACATATTTAAAGCTTTTAGGTTCAGCGAAACAACGTTAGTAGAAGAAATCACAAAGGGCAGCATATCGTTGATAATTGATCGATTTACTTTTATTACAGGAGAACTAAATGTAAAGACAACCAATTCGTACTAATTATCGTTATGTTAATTTAATAATTATTCATTCATCCTTCTCTTTTTTTTTTTTTTTTTTTTACCATCTAAGGTTACAATCGAACAGAATACCCCCCTTAACCTTCAAATGTTTGAAGATTACCCATCAATGTACAATCTCCCAATATCTCCACCCTTTGCTATTTTCACAGCTCCGGTTTAAGACCCTAGCACTCCAGACGGTGATAACGCGGCTTTTCGTCTAAAAAGAGAATCTTATAATGCATAACTGTGTCCCAAGTAACGATATCCGTTTTGTGTAAGTATAATCCCAAAGTTCGTCATGCTAATGTGGCCGATGCCACAAAATGTCAACCTATAATCTTGGTAGCTGATGAATTAGTTCCACTGAAAAGATCCGTATGTGTAGTATGTGATGTGATTGAATAGACTTATCCAAACTAGAGGAACTCTAAAACAGGTAATAATAAATCAATAAAAGATAGAAAATTAAGAAACAAGGAGTTAGAAAAATTGGTAGAAAAATTTAGCCCACTCCCTAATAAAAACCAATCTCGCAACATAACAGAAAGGGTAAACGATGACCCACAAGAAGAAAGCTCTTCAAGGACGAAAAGATTGAGACTTGCAATAGATGAAATTAACAAAGTTAAAGATGAGATAATAAAAAATTAAAAATATAAAAAAAAAAACAAAATAAAAATAAAAAAAATAAAATAAAAAAAATAAAAAATAAATAAAAAATAATCAAAAATAGATAAAAAAATAAATAGAATTTAAAAAATAAATAAAAAATGAATAAAAAACAAATAGAAAAAAAATGAAATATAATCCTTCCTCCAAATAATCGCGTTTAGACCAGGCTATCATTTAGTTTATAAAAAGTAAACTCCATATAAGCATATCTCTTATAAACACGTTTTTAATTAAAACAATTTACTACCTACTAACTGTATAATTGTATGAGAGACCGACTATAATAAAGATAAATAAATTAATAATATTGATTATACTAACTTTATTGTTGAACAATTATACTAATAATTTAAAAATCTAGGAGATGAGAAAGCAGAAGATCAACAAAATGCTGTAGACTTAACTCAATCTGATGAACCTCCACATGCCAGAGTTGAAACCGATACTGACGGCCTATATTCAGATGAAGAACAACCAAATAATCTTGATGATGATGATAATACACTCTAAGAATAATCAAATAATCCCTAAAATTTAATACACCAGATTATCTATTTTTAAATACTTGAAAATGCCATCCCCTAATTAAATACTTCACACTTTGTTTTGTATTCTTTACCTAAACAATAAAATAAGATCTATTAATTGACCATAACAATTACATTAGCTTATTGTTAAATCGAAATTGATAATAAAGTAAACATGAATAAATGAGACGTCAACATTAACCTGTGAATAGCGTATAAAAGCTATGCCTCAAGATTTATTTCATCAAATTAATATTGAAAAATCTCGTAACTAAAGCAGAAAAAAAAAATTAAATATTAATTTAAAAAAAAAAACATATATTATCATCTTAATCTGCAAAATTTGACTTTATCTAACTTAATATACAAATCTTAAACATGAGTAGAAACTTAAATTATTCTATTTAACGCTTCTTTATTCACGAATATGAGAACAATATTTTGTTAAACTTCAATGAAGAAAACTCAAACATGAGTGATGTTAACATCTTCCAATCTTATATTTATCGCAATGAAATAAATTAATTTGGTATAAACAATCCTGTGCAAACATCACAACATGACTAATCAACCGATTCAACCTTGCATTTTCCGCCCTGGAGACCATCCCCTATGCTAAAAAAACTCCTTCATGAATTCGAAACAAAAATTTTGCATGATCACCCTCAAATTCCTTGCTGTTACTGTTCAATTTTGATGTACCGTTCTTTGACCCAGTGGATAACATATAATCTGAATGAAGATTACACTTTACCTGTAGCATTTCCTGAGATACCCGTTTACCTTTGCCATTTTACCAACAAACCTAGTAAAGTAGCCATCTGTAGAAGCTGTAAAAACCCAAAAAACCGAAGATTTTTTCCTGTTTTGACAAACGTGCCTCATGAAATAAGCCTGGTACTAATGAAACACAGAAAATATCTCTCACTGATCCACATGATATGTTCATTAGGTCGCACTTTAGGATCAAATCCCTATACTACATACCGATTTTTACAAGGCGATTTTTTCTTAAGCAAAAACATACACTCACTTGAATTATTCTCTGGTATGATCGGTACTTTTTTAGACCAAAATAAGCTGGCACGCTGGTATTATGAGACTCTTCCCTTCGCCAGTGATTAGCTAAAAAGAAATAACCTGATATTTCGTCAGTACACACTTTTACCGGATATCACTCCTCTATCTCCATCAGATCTATCTCCGATTCCTCTACCTTTGGCAAGACGATCTCAAGAAAACACCAACACCACTCTGTTACAAAATAACTCCACAATCCCTGACATCGTTATCCCAAATAATAAATTTCCACCTGAGATATACAACAAAGACCTAAGGTATAAAAGACTCATGACCAGATTTATAAGTTTAGACAACTTGACCCTATTAGTACCTTATAGTGACCCTGACCTCGAAGCAATGATCTTCTCGGACCTATTTCCCAATAGAAAAGGTCATTACGAAAACATATACAGCCAACTAGACCTTCAATCAAGCACAGAGAGCTATGGGAAGTATATCAAACTCAGAATGCTCTGCTCTGATCTGAGGTTTAGATTACATTGGTACTGGCCACACTGGTCATACTTAAATCTGGAAAAAAGATGTAATTTTCAGTACAATTGTAGGCTGTTAAATCAAAAAAACATATCACGAGAGCATCACCCAACAAGGGCCGACCTTATAGGTATGCTTATATTACTTATCTATTATTTTTATAAAAAAATGCATATACACATACGTGTATACTATGTTTTCGTGTATATTCGAGTTTTTTTTTTTCTATACTTCTAATTAAAAAAAATTTCAAAAAAATTCGTAAATATAAAGACAAATCATCATTAACTAAAATTTCTATTATATTTGCAGTGAAAAGTGTATATACTGGTTGACCCATGATCAATGAATCAAAAACAACTACCATACGATCGAGCTTAAGAACCGCAGCCCCTTATTTCAAAAAAAAAGAATCTTAAAGAAATTTTATTATCAACCGACAACAGAGATCCATTACTAACAAACCGACCGCTACATGTCTACTTATTCTATCACCATAAGCTCGCTAACATATGCAATAAATTATGGAAAAATATAAAATTAACACAATGGTGTAAACTTGAAAATTATTTCGAATATGACGAATTTCAAAATAGAGGCACTATACATACTCATGGTTTCACCTATACGAGTATTAAGATCTCTGAGCTAATTGAAAAAATACAATAAGGGCTGACTTACCAGACCAAAATCAGGAACCAGAGCTATATCATTTAGTTACAACATACCAGATTTACAGGTTAACACAGTTTACTTTTTTTCTTGATCCTCCAACTCTGTTTCATATACATATATAATTTCGTAGTTTAATCTAAATAAATAAAATAAATAAAATAAGAAAAAAAAATAAATCAAAATAGTATGAAAAATATAAATAAAAAAAAAGATAAATAAATTATTTTTATTTAATACCTTTATTTCACGTTTATACCATCAATATAGGTGCTACCCAGATAAGTGTGGTGGCCCTGTTTTTGGCAGACTACCATGCAGGAAAGGATTCCCCCAACCCTATCAAATACAATACATAGAGACAACCACTCGCTCAAGTACATATATAAAAGGACAAAAGAAGAAGATCGATGGATAGTACCTTACCATCCCGAGACTTTAATGATATGGCAAGGCCATATCAATTTCCAATACATTACTACGACAGGATTTGCAAAATATGTTACGAAATATGTAACAAAACTTGAACCTTCAGAAACCTTCAATATTGATGATCGTGACAGCTATAGAACTCACATACAAGCAAGAAGACTAGGGGCAATGGAATTAATGATCTTACTTCTTTAGTATCAAATAACAAGATCAACAGTTTCAGTTCAATATTTACCTTCTGCTCCTTCAAATCTACGCATCAGAGCAGTAAAATCTATACATCTACAACTAAGAGCCTTGAAAACAATAACGATGACAAAGAAAAACTCTACTAGGACGATGTGATAGATAAATACTTTAGTCGCCCAAAGACAGATGAATTCAAGAACATAACTTACCCTAAATACTTCCGAGACTATAACCTAAAAACTACACCACCATCACAATCCACAAGACGATCATGTACAAGAGATCAAAACAATTGTTTCATAATCAAAAGAAAAAAACCCTTCTTTTGAGATTCGTAAATTACAAAGTAGAAGATAATAAGTTTAAGATCAACGTAATATAAGATATTATATATTTGCTTTATAGTAACTATAATAATTATATACATGACAGTTGTAATTACAAACATATAACTAACATAATAATAATAATCAGAAATATAAAAACGTAAATAAGTATAGACTAAAATTTTTATCAATTATTTATACTTTAGGCGAGCCATTCTTCTTTCAGCATCTCATAATAAAAATTCTGTGCTACTTGGAAGAAGAGCTTCTTGAAAACCATTCAAGTTATTTCAAAAGATTCAAGTCCCTATACCCTGACCAATATGAGCAAGAAATAAATAGATTAACCAATACCACCGTATCTCAACAAATCCGAATCTCAACTGCATACAAAGAAATTGTAAAAAATATACTAACTAACCTAAATAACATGGAACTCCACAAAATAATCCTCAACCAACTAATTTCGCTAGAACGCAAAACACCTTTTGTCGACCCACATTTTATGCTAATGTTAGATGAAGACCAATATCTAACTTATGACCTTCTTTGTAATTCTTGGGGGCCAGAACATCAAGGCAAATATTCTTACTTCTTTCTAACCAGATCAGCTAGTACTGGAAATCATACCTACTGCATATAATCATCAACCTCTTAAATTCGAAAAAAATCAATCACATCGTAATCACGCCAACTGGTGTAGCTGCACAAAATGTCAGTGGAAAAACGATTTATTTTGCACTGAAAATAAGGCAAACCTAATCACACTACGAGACCTTAGCCATTTATGATCGTAAGACAAAAGAGGATCTAAAAAAAACTGAAGCTATAATAATAGAAGAAATATCCATAGTTTCTAATGATTTATTCTTATTCATGAGTAATCTATTCGGCTCGATTTACAATAACTCAAAATTATTTGGAGGAATCCCTGTACTTCTAGTCAGAGATCTCTTTCAATTACCACCAATAAACGCCCAATACATATTTCACTCTCCCATTTGGAAAAGATTCTTTCCACTATTCCTAACCCAACCTAAAAGGCAAAGAAACGACCCTAGATTCTATAATCTGCTCCAAGAATTACAATATAATCGTCTGTTCAAAACATCAAAAAAAATGATCAAAGATAAAATCAACACTTCCGATCTCGATTACAATGCTATCTCCTCAACTTATCTCGTAGGCATACGTGAAACTGCTAAAGAGATTAATAAATTAATTTGTGATAACCTTCTGACTAACGAATATGGAATAGACTCAATAACCTCAAAAGCCATTAACACTCTCAATCACAGTCCGCTTACTACAAATAACAATGAACACCTAAACTATAACCGCTATACGAATTTACCTGATGAAGTAATCCTAAAAGAAGGTGCAAAAGTTATGTTCCTAAATAATAAACTATTCGACCACAACATTTGCAACGGTACAATCGGTATAATCACAAGCATAGTAAATAATCATACCATTGAAGTTACTTTTTCAACCATGACAAACATTGTTAAACTAAATATACAAAAAGAGACGACCTATTTTGATATCAATAGAAATCCAGTGTCTAGATATCAATTTCCTATCCACAAAACTCAAGGATTGACTTTACCTCATACAATGATAAACGTTGACCAAAGAATATTTGCAGAAGGTCAAGTCTACGTCGCCATAAGCAGAGCTCCTACATGGGAATCTATTAGCATTATCAACTTTGATTTTAATGCTATTAAAACAAACAGATCAGTAATAGAAGAATATACATGACTAAGCGAGATACATAAAAAAGTATTGGCTCATATGCTATGTA